CGTCTTTACTCACTTAAACTTTATTCAAAAGAACAACGAACCTTTTCTGCGCAGGCGCAAAACACAGTTCTCTGGGGGGCAGGAGCAATCGATCAACGAATCATCGAACTCGATCGAAATTATAAATAGCGTACCTAATATTATTACTTTCAGTACTTTACTATCATTACTCTTAAACAATAATGCCAAAATGATAATTATTAAATATGAATTCTTTTTAACCTTCGTTTTTCACTGAAATATCATTCTTTAGAACCTGTGTATTTTAATCTGTGTAACAATTCAACAATTTCAACACGTCATATAATTCAACAATTTCAACCCGTCACAATATCACGAGTGCCTATTATCGTCAATAAACACCTTTACACCTTCAAATAAATTTAAAAAACTTGTCTGCCAGGAACAGATCAGGTAGCACTCTTCAAATCAGATATGTATAGCAGGTCATTAAAGCAATAACTTGTTTTCTAAGATGATGCATCAAAGCATACGCTCCATACATGACTGAAATGCACTAACAGAAGAGCCAGTCAACCTTTTAAATTGAGATCATGTTAACTCTGTCTCCAGGACACAATGTAGCCTGATGGCTATTCCATGCTCTAGGATTACCATGTCTTGCCAATGTGGCCTCTGGTGCAGAGCTTGAAAGAGGGACAGTGCACACTAAGTATTTGTGATGAGCAGTGAGGCCTTTCCTTCTTCCCAAGGGAGTAATAAAGGCTGGACTGCAAGCGATGCATTCTCTTCATCCACCTGATGTTAGACTTATAACAACCCCAATGTTAGGCCAGCTTAAAGTCATGCCTCCTCTGGGCTGATGTGCCAAGTGTTATCAAGAAATATGTTTATTCCTCCTATGTTAAAGTTTAAAAGTCAAATGACACAATGGTGGCCATAAAGGCAGCTATAATTTCAGCCCTCCCAACTAAGAATTTGGGAAAGTTACTTTTTTCTTTTTTTTACATGTCTGGTGCAATGGTTAAATAGTCTTGGTGAAATTTAAGCATAGGAATTGCAACTAAATTCTCTATTGTCATGAAATACATGCAGAAACAGAACCAATTCTGCACAAGCTAAATTCCAGTCATTCATTATTTTTCCTGCCACGGAAGAATTGTGCGCCAAAATCATTTACCTAATCACTGAACTAAGCCTTAATGTTTTTTTTTTTATTGTTTATTATTCTTTCAGTCATTTGTGATATCTATGGCAAAGTGAAGCCTTTTTCACAAGATCATCTTTGTAGAGAAAAGATGGCAAGAAGAAAAGGGTGGGAAGTTTTTCCTTTTAAAGAGTTGTCCTTCCAGGTTCATATTTCTGTTTCAAAAATACCTATTTAATCCCAAAGGCCTTTTTCAGAGAGCTAGATAAATATATATCCACCTTCATCTGTAATAAGACCACCCCACGAATAAGGTGAAACAGAAAGAAGCTGGAGGCTTAGCATTACCTAATAATCATATTTGGTCAATGCTAATATTTATAAACTAATACACTGGGTCTCTGCTTCTAATGAGGGGAGTGGACCTGTATGGGTTGAAATGGCACAAAATTGTGCCTGTGTCCCTACCTTCCGTAGTATGTGTGCCCAATTCAGAACCCACTTCAAACATAGACATGCTATGCCCTCTCTGCCAATCTCAGCCAACGTACTCTTCCCACCCTCGCTCTTGGATAGACTACAGCATTTAAGTAATGGTTCAGGAATGGCCGTGAAACAGGTGAATTATCTTTTTAATGATGGTGTGTTCATGTCATTCTGGCAGCTTAAAAATGAAAATTCTTATTATTTCAGGTATCAGCAGGTGCATGTCTTCGTTCAGAAGCATCTCCCTTCTTTTCCGTAATTCCCTCCAAAAGACTGGAAGGAGGAGTGAGCAGACTATAATCAGGATGTCCAGATGATTGTTTCTTCATCACTTTGTGGAGGACTTGGGATTTGAGGTGTAGACATCTCCTGACAAAGCACAATTAAGAGAATACATTCAATTTAGATTTGTATCAGACATGGTTTACTCCATAGTGCTACACGAGCTTCATCAATCCATAAGTAGGCTGGCTAGGATATATCCAGGTGTCGTTCCGACTTGCTCCCAATGTTGTCAGGTTCCAGTTTTTCAAAAATTGAAAGTCTTAAATTTTTCATCAATTTTCTTACATTGTGGCAGAGAGATAAACCCTGCTCCCAAAATTGCTATATTTGGTGTGGCACCTGCAGAGATGGCGATATCTGGTGCACAATCAGACAACATCAGTGATACCTCCCACACACAGGCGCTGGGTTGAGGATATAATAGTACACTTAAAACTTGAGAAGATGAAGCACACAATCAGGGGATCAACCCAGATATTCTATAAGGTCTGTCAGCCGACCTCCTCAATTATTTTCACTTACAATTCCTGCTGGAAACACATGGACATAACTGATTCACAGGCTCTGTAACTCTACTGTAACATGTCTATATCAATTATTTTTTTCTTTTTGTTCTTTTCCTCAAATGTATTATTTTATATTTCATCTTGAGTTTTTTATTTTTATTTTACTTTATTTATTGACTTATTTTTCCCTGTGTTATTGTAATTTTATTATTGTTTATGTTGGAGTTCCTGTTTGGGGACTTCCCATTTCAACTTAGTGAACAAATGCATTTACATATATTCACAGATAAAGACCTCAGCCAGTATTCCTAGATTGTAACTCAAGATTAAAAAAAGGAAACTACTGATCTATTATTCGGTACTGTGGTAAAAATTTCCATTTAGCAATACCCTCACACAACCTTGTCTGAATGTTCTTTAAGTCTTCCTCTTACTTATTCTACTTGCATGAAAATATATTTTCTCAATAATAATTCACATCTTCTCCTAAGATGCTTTACGATTAAATGTACAGTATGTACATAGTGAAGGGGGCAGAACATTATCAAAAGACATAATTCAGTCTATCCTTTTTTAATCATGTGAGTAAACATATCTATAGAGCATTCTAATCAAACTCAAAATGTCGAGGTTTCTGAATGGGTTTTTTATGCCAAACATAAAAGCATTATGCCATTTGATGGTATGGTTGTTTGGCTGAAAGTCAAGCTTTTACATGATGATATTTCTGAACTTCGTGAACTGAACATAAACTGCATGGCATTGCACGGAAAATTGAAAACAAGACTCAGTTTTTTCACAATAAGAATGGAGACTAATAAGAATAAGAATGGCGACAAATACGTCAAGTTCCTAATATAGTAGGATGACTTTTTTGCCATTTATTCAAAATGTGCTTGGTATAGTCTAGCAGTGAGACCATCATTTTGAAACAATGTCACTGTGGGAGTCTATCACATTCTCAGATATTTGAATGTTGGACTACTGGCAGCCTGCCAAATTGCAGTTATCCAGAAATTATTAGTTTGTAGCTTCTAGAGAAAGGACATTGCATGTGATGTATCTGGTGCACAACATTGAGGCTGCTACTTGATTTTAAAAATAAATAAACACAATTTTCTCAAGAAAGACAAAAAAATACTTAATTACTTTAGAGTTTAATGACATATTAGAGTTTTAAAAAAGCAGAAGTGCCATATCATAGTCAGTATTATAATACTTTTATTTTTATAGCACATTTTAAAAACAGGCTGTCCAGTAAAAAATAAATAAAAACACCAAAATACCTAACATATTCTTTTCATGACACATCATCAAAGATACAGCTAAATAAATTTGTCTATGTTTTCTTGAAGACTTGAAGGTATTAAAAAAATATGGCATGCCTGAATTAAATATAAGCAAAGGGAATTATTGATGATCAACACATAGCAATTGTTGAATTGAAAATTGAACACATATGTTTATTAAGATTAGCTAGTGTCCATAATGTAGTGTTTGTAATCAAATGTTAGACTAAAAGTTAAATGTTTCTCTTGGCTTATCAAATAAATCAAAGTCAAAGTATTCTATATCTGTCGCTTCCTGTAGCCTTTCTCAGCAAATGGGTGGTTGCTCAGGTGTTATTTCTCTTTATGATAACAAAGGCTTCCATAACTTTGGCGCCGAAAAAGGCCGCCACGGTGTTTTGGTGCAATGCTGTGCACCAAACACCAAAGCAAATTCCTTGTTTGTGAAAACCTACTTGGCAATAAACCTAATTCTGATTCTGATTCTGAACTTTGGTCAAAAAGAGAGATGTTAAAAATATTTGATTTTGTTTATTCAACTGGCTATAAAGTGGTAATTAAAAATGTAACAGTGACTAGGTCTATGAGATATCAGGGTAATACTGCTTGTGTAAAGATATGTTACTTTTTTATAACCACAAAACACACATAATTAATGAAATCTTGTCAGTAAAAACATTTATACTTTGCATCATTTGTAAATATATTTATCATTGAGAATAAAACAACATATACTTAAGTTAAAACAGGCAATATTTTGGTTCTGTTTGAAACTGATGAAAACAGTGATCCCAAATGCAAGTCTGCTAATACAGAGCTACAGTTAACTAGTTAGCTGAGCTTTGCATGTACACTGTAAGCAGGGGGGGAATTTGATGCTGAGCTAAATAAATTCTAGCTTTATATTTAATGGTCACATAAATGTATTTGAAAATTTGACCATTTTCTCTAATAATCTATTACCCAGAATGAAAATGCAATAAAATTAACCATAAAAATAGTTTCAACATTATAAATTTGTCTTGATTCATTCATTTTTGTTGATAGCAAAGATAAGGAAATCTCAATTATCTGATATATAAAATGCGCCGTGGTAACTAAAAAGAAAGTGAAAACAAAAGTCCCATTCATGAAACAACCCATCATTTTTCTACTGTGTAGGTTTCTCCACTAATCCAAGCTAGTGTGAATTGTGCTAAACTACAAGGTGTACGATGTCTGAATTACCATTTCTATTTTTTTTTTTGTGATTGACCGGTTAAGACCGTCCGTCAATAAGACATTTACACCCATTTCCAGACAAAACATTAGCTTCCTGATTCATACTTTCTTTAACTTCAACGGGTAGCGACTCAAAAAGGTGATCCTCCACCACTAAGCAGCTCCTGCGTAGAAGGATGCTCTGACCAAGCTGAGATGGGAGACGATCTAGACAGTTTCCCTTCAATTCCAGATGTGTGAGCTGCGAGAGGTTGCCAATTTTGTCAGGAATGAAAGAAATACAATTGTGGCCAAGACATAATGTCCTTAGCTTTGAGCACTTGAACATTTGCTTCGGGACTGCCTCAATTTTGTTAGCTGTAATGGCAAAATGTTGAAGATTCTGCAGAAAGCCTATCTCCAGTGGTATTACGACTATGGAATTATGGCTCACGTCAAGGTATCTCAACTTGAGGAGGGTAAATAATGGCGAGGGCAGAGTTTCCAGCTTGTTGTGAGAGAGATACAATGACTCCAGGTTTTTAACGTGGCTGATAGACAGTGGAATGGTGATGATCTTATTGTACCATAGTTTGAGGCAGACTAGTCTTTTGAGGTGCTGAAAGCTGATGACCTCTTCAATGGTACGAATGTTGTTGGATTTTAGATCAAGTTCCTGAAGGTTGTTCAAACTAAAGATGGCATGGGGTATCCGCTCCAGCTCACAGTTATGCAGCTCCAGCTCTGCAAGATTCATCATTTTCTTCAAACTATTCAGTACTAAGAGTTTTGTGCCATCATTATGAATCACAAGTCTTATTAAATGTGGAGATAAATCTGTTATATTTGTTGGAATCTTTGTGAGGTTGCTTTTGAGATGCAAAATCTTTAAGTGTCTGAGATCTCGCAGAGACTCAAGTCCAATTAGCTTGTTGTTTTCAGAGTTTAGGTTGCCAACCAAATACAACTCTCGTAGATTTTTTAACAAGTACACCCAACTAGGTATCTCAGCAACATCTGTGAATTTGACATGAAGGCACCGAAGGTGATCACAGAGAAAAATGAAAGCAGTCTGCTCAACTTTGGCAGGACAGTGGTAGAAGTGCAGTTCATGAAGATTGATCATCTGCGAGATCTTTGCTGTTATCCTAGCCTCTGGGATTAACTCTAATTTCAGGATTTCCAGGTCAGTGAGATCAAACACAGCGTCTGGGACACCAGACAACATGAACAGGTGAAGTTCCAACTTATCTTGAGGATTTCGTGTTATGTGTTGCCTCAACTTCTCAAAAGTCCACTCGTGATTTAGGCTGATCTCCCGAAGTTTATTCTCACTCACCTCAGAGAGAAAAACACCAAAACGCTTTGAATACAGCTGGTCATACTGATCAACCATGTGCAGGAGGAATGCAAAATCATTCTTCACATCAGGAATGTCACTGAAGCTGCTCTCCTCTCTGACTTTTTCAAAGGAATACTCCTTTAGGGGTCGCCGAAAAAGCCAGAACAGTGTGTATATGCAGATAATGCCATAAACGCATATTAGAGCAATATAACTGACAAGCAGTTTCTTCAACATGAAAGCCATGTTATGTGTACAATGAAATTTAGCATATCCAGTCAAATGCTTTATTTCAGGTTCACACACATGGTCGAAATCTATGGATGCCACAAATGTCATTGTGTAACATAGGATTAAAATAAACTTCACAGTTTTGATGACTGTCTGAATGGCATAGAGTTTGTAAATCAAATCACTGTCTTCCACATGGGCACGGAATTTCCGAACTTTTTCAAAAAGGGCCTTTGCCTGCTCACCATCTTTCTTGTCCAGTATAGTCATGGATGGAACTTCACTGACAAGTTTTTCAGCAGAAAAGGCAACCCCTGATTTAGTTAATACTGGAGCGGACTGGTTTGGAGTACCCTCCTCACTGCTTGTAGACAGATGTTTCAAGAGAGACGACACCCCAGCTAGTCTCTGCTTGTTCTCTTCAGAGTCCTCACATGCAGTCTCAGACAGGGCTTTGGTAGTCCAAGGTGATTCAAAACATTTTCCAAGTATGGAAACAAAATGTTCTATTTTTGAACTTGTCTTTGGATATTTGAACCAGAAGTTGCTACTGACCATCAACACAATAGTGTGAATTAAAGCAAGGTAAGGGAAATACTTAGAATACCAAGGAAGAGCAACATGGTAGCACATCTGGTTGACAAAAACATATTGCTGAAAATCCAGTTTGGTCTTGACACCTTTAGGCTGGGGCTGCCCAAAAGCAGGAGACTGTGTTGAGCTAAGTGAATGGGTCATGCTGTCAGGAGGCCTTTTAGCCATCAAAGGAGCAGCTTCCTCCCCAATTGCACTCTCTTTTTTCCATAAATCATCAATTGGCTCTGGGGACTGGGTTTCCAAAAAATTGCTGACTCTCTCTGTAGTTTGTTCCATGATTGGAAGACAAACAACTTGATCCTTCGTTAACTGCATGGTTCCCGAAAATATGGCCAACATCAGCATGACAATACCAAGATAGTCCATGAAGACATCCCACCATGGTTTCAGGATTCTATAAGTTGGTTGGATGTCATTCAGAGAGGCTACTTCTGTGAGGGTAAACATTCCTGCAATAAAGAGGATTTAAATCAGAATTATTGGTAGAAATTGATAAAACAGTCTGGAATGTAATTAATCAAGAAAGATCTTCCCCATTTGATTTTAAACTGCATTTGCCTAGTGAATTGATGATATAGCAACAGGATTGGCAGAGAAAAGGGCCAAATACAACTGCCTTGCTTTCTTATATTTGTAATAATGTTCCTTGCCAATAGTTATTCCTAAAATGGAAATCCTAACACTAAGGTTTTATACAATATCTACGTTTACAGAACAGAGTGCATTAAAAGAATTCCAGTTACATTTTATTTTTACAAATAGCTGCAATGAACTGAATTCCAATATACACTTAAACATCACAAACTCTGTCATGTAATAATTTGTAGATTACTGAAGGATAATGTGTTAATTATTTCTTGTCATGATACACATGTAGTTATTTTTGTTTTAAAGTTTAGTACTGTCCTTGAATTTCAACAAGACCAATCTTAAAACTACAACACAACATATTGCATATAGGCTATGTGATGGTTTACAGACATTTTACTATTAGTCAACCATCACAGTTGTAGACTACAACTGTGATAGTTGACCCTTAGTAAAAAATAGTAAATGTCTGCAAACCAACACATATATGCTATATGTTGTGTTGTAGCCATGGCATAATAATGACTTTAAAATATTTGCTTTGGATTTTATACCAAATGTACATCAAGCTGAATGAATGTCGTAGCTATTAACGTGTATTATATGCGCTGAAGGCATTAAGGTCACTTTGGACAAAAAGACTGTTAAGCAGGTTGAGACCGGCTCCAGCAACAAGACGCATCCATCGACCCAGGACAAGAGGTGGAGCTAATATCCGTGAAACCCTAAACGCAGCATCGAAATCTAACTTCATACTAGAAAACGTGTAACTAGCTCACACTAAACCAGAACATTTAATACTGGTTGTATGCAGTAGAGCACTACTCCCGCTAAATTCGAATATATGTCTTCCTAACATAACATGTCACAGCATCGCAGTTAATTTATACACAAAGTGCACCTGATACGCACCTTTAGAGGGTTTAATCCAGTTAAGTAGATGCCAGTGTTACCGAACAACTCCTCGACTTATTTGCCATGCTTGCTGATGTCGTGAAGTTGTCCTTTTTCGCTTCGCTTTATTCGCAGGCCTGTGTGCGGGGCCGTAAGCAGCTTAACTGACATCCCCCTCCTCGCTTCAGTTGGTCGGTTCCTTTGCCTTTCAATGGCGACACAGTCGCCTCGGTGTTGTACCAAAGTAGTTATCCCCACTAGGACTTGTATCCCCTTCCGCGGGAGCGCGCATTTACCCAGTGCATTGATACGACAGGTGTTGTGCCAAAGTAGTTATCCCCATCAGGAATTGTATCCCTTCCGCGGGAGCGAGCATTCACTCAATGCACGCTTGCAAACGAAATGCGGGTCTTGCGAACGATTTATCTCTGTTTCCAAATAACAAAAATATCAGTGTGTTAGTTGTTTAATACGTTCTTCAAAAACCAGTTTAATATTCTTTTGAAAACCTTTAATGCACGCGTGTCTTCATGTCGTTTACAGGAATACTGTACACCAACGTTGTTCAATAACACGCAAGAGGTTTACTTCTGCAAGACTCAAGATATTTTACGATGGTTGTCACTCTCTCTAGTTCAGCCAGTTTATCTGAGATTAAACGTGGAACAAATATAATCCGTAGTCTCACAATTATATTGAAGCTATGGATTTTTCTTTCTAAATGTAAATGAAGATAATCGAGTTTGTTGCTTTGTTTTGCTGAACATTACAAATCCAAGTTCTTGATGCCATATGTCTTGTTAGTGAAGTAAATTAATTGATGATTCATCCATCAGCCTGCCAGAATTTGTGCCCCTTCTATTTAAATTACGTTTTATGTCATACACACATGAGGTCATAGCCAATAAGTACACAAAATCTAAACAAGTTTTGATTTAGTTCAGTTTCATAGGGGGCACAGATTCTGGCCAGAATTCTGCCTGCCAGAATTTATGTCCCCTTAATTTATATTTGTATTATGTTACAGCTTTTTTTACTTCAAAGATAACTTGGATCATACCTTATCAGATTTGTTCTCCTTCAAAGGAAAATGACTATTCGAGATTATTCAAACTGGATTTGAGTAACAGTTCTCCAGGCTTTATAAAAGATTTTAACATTCCTTTCAAAGACAAACACTTTTGTTTGATCTTATGACACCACTTTCTAATCCTGAAACATGTGATTGTAATACAAGTTTTGTACGGCGGGGATACAGTGCTAGTGAATAATAATGGCCTGAAGAGAAATCATGACTGAAAGTTTCTGTGGAGAGCAGACAGGCAGAAAGATGCAGCTGTAGGGGAAATCCATGGAGACATGTTTTGGGGAGAAATTCTTGCTGGAAAGGCTTGCTGATGAACAAAAAGGAAGTAGCTCAGCTGGTACCTCGGTGATCAGAGGCAGTGATCAACTCAGAGTCAATGATTTAACTCAGAGTTTGCTTGAACCTTCTTTGTGAAACGGACCCCAGATGTGTGGTAATGCAGTAATCAGGACACGCTTACAATGCAGGCTCCTTTATGCAGGCTCCCTAACCCTAAATCTTAAATAGCAAATGTCAAATTTTAATATAAACTGATCAGGTACTTCAATAAAGCTGTGCTAATAACAAGAAATTAAATGACAATTACATATGACTACATAGCCATGTGTGCCTATACATAAGAAGAAGAAGATGAATGATAATAATGATATATATTATATAGCGTCTGCTAAAATGAATAAACATATATAGCTTTTTATATAATATTATTTATATTATTCATATAATAATGATAGTTTCTACATCATCTGGTCAACAGCTGAAAATCTCCCACAACAATAGCAACAATTGGTTGCTGAAGACATATCTAGAACTCTCATTCTAAAAGATTTTGATCAATTTGCTTCAGTGCCCTGGCATATATACTCAGTTTTGCTGAATTCAGGAACCACATTGTTGAAACATCACTTTAAGTTTTTGTGTAGATGATAAAATCCATGTGCGTCTTCAGCAGAATCTCAAAATAGGGACAATAACCTTTCCAGAGACCTTTCCGTAGCAGCATTGGGATCTTTGTTACATACACAAACGGGGTGATAATCCGTTTAATTAATTGGAAACACGGGGACTGTAGGAAATGAAGCAGTAAGGCAAAGGACAAAGGTATACAAAAATATCCTCCATTTATTTTTTCCAAAAATATGAAGAAAAATTAGCCCAAAAGAAAAACAAGACAAACTATGGATGTTGGGGCCACTGAGTGGCCTGCGTTAACCTTGAGTGCCTCCTACCTTTCTCTTCCCCAGGGTGTGTTCAGGCTAGCGTTGTCACGATACTAAAATTTTAAACTAGATACCAATACTCAGGAAAATATTCAATACTCTATACCATTTTCAATACCACAAGGATATAAACAAAGAGCCCAAAATTTAACTGAATGTTGTCTTTCGTTTCAAACTTACCTATTACTGATGTTATGGTGGCCAGTGGCCCGCATTAATTACCCTAACCCTGACTCTCCGACCTTCATAATTGTGAGAAATAAATATTTTTTGGTTAAAGTTGTTTGGACTTATTGTACAAACCTATTTAACATACATTATTTTAACATAATATTATGTATAGAGTTGAATTCTGTGTTTGTAAGATTAATTTCACTATTTTTAAATAATGTCTATATTGCCATGAAGTAATTACGATTTTCTTGCCTGGGATCATTCTATTGGTGACCTAATCAAAATGGCCGACTTGGATGTGGGCGAAGCAGGATATCCATCCTTGGCTCCCTGCAGTCTGCCGCCAGACGTACTTAATTAATGTTGGCGTCTTATTATAAGCCATTAGCCGCAGCTAGCAATTCAAGGCTAAGTCACATTAATGATCATAAACAACGTAAATAAATAAATCAGAGAGAAGGGGCGCAGAGGGGGTGATCGATACTTTTGAAAATGGGTATCGTATCCGGATACAACGTTTTAGAAAGATACTTTTTGGAATATCAATAACTTTGACAACCGTAGTTCAGGTAGGGCGAACCTTCAGCGGTTTCCAGTTGCTGCCATCAGGAGCCTGTATTTAGAAGGACATGTTCCCTGAGGCTCACGCCAATTTGTTGATTTCCATGCAGTTGGTAACTTACCAGTTAGCTCCACAGCTCCTTGGAATATCTTCGCCCAGGGAGAGAACTTAACCTTTTTTGTCTTACTTCGATCCTCAGCGTTTCCCCTAAGTCCGCCGCGCAGCTTCTGGATTCATCCCTGGATTATTCGTCTGCCCGTCCCCCCTCCAGCACCTTGTCTAAGATTAAGATCTACGCGAAACAGAGTATCTGAAAGAACAGAGTAAATACAAGTCTGAAATTAAATTAAAAAAATGTAAAGATTGTATAAGGAGCTCTGGGTTTAGCTAAATTTGACAGAGCTGCATTTTGGAAAACCCGGGATTGGATTAAGTGGAAAATATTAGGAATTTCTTTATATCAGTCTTGTGGCAACTTCATCAAAGCAAGGTATTACATTTCTAAAGTTTATTTTGTACAAAATACATTATTTAGGGAGGCTTAGAGCCTAGTTAAAATAATCATATTAGTCTTCCCACCCAAAATGCATAAAAATAGTGTCTTTTAGAGTGTCTTTTAGAGTGCTTTAATAATATAACACTTACCCTGTCTTCCCCCCACCACCACCACCACTGTTTTTGCACTTCCCTTGTCTCTTCCCTGTATCTCTGTCCCCATTGTTGCCTCTAAAAGAGTCTGACTAGGATTTTCTTCCTAGTAGAATTTTGTAAGTGTCACGAAGGTGCCCTGGTGGAGGGGTTTTTTGTATCGTCTTTTCCTAGTCTCGTCATTTCCTGTTTTATTTTGAAGAATAACCCTCATCTCGTTTCAGGTCACTTGCACTTCCTGTTGTGTCACCAGTCTGAGCGTCTCCCTGATTACTT